TTAAAATTATGGGTATTATTCCTTTAAGCCCTAAACTCAATCAAAATGAAATTTACAACTGAAGATCTACTTTGATTTCAAAAAATATTTTCGGACGAAGTAAGATGTGTATGTAAGTTTATCAATTACAACAAGAACTAAATATAGACTTTAAGAAAACAGGGACAGCAAGTTTGCACAACATGATAAAATCAGAATTCTTGTATTTTAATCAGCATTTTAATTACATTGCTAACCCAAACCATGTTTTGTTGCTCCATTTAGTCACTGTCCCATCACTGAAAAAAAAAAGAGTACTAAAAAAATCTCAACACTCATTTTCTTTCGCCTTCTTCCTTTTTTTTTTTTTCACAGCAACGAAAAAAAAAGTATTAAAAAAATCTCAATTTTCTTTTTGGTATATTAAGATTTTGATTTACATAGTATCATGTTTTTTTATGTTGTAAATCTTAAAATTCGAAACCTTTAGATACCTTCAATTTAAGGCATTTTAGTTAATTACTAAATGATATGTGACTGGGTCTTAATAATTGGATGGAGTGGCAGAAGCAACACCATGTGAGCAACATTTTCAGCAGGTGAAGGCGTGGAGGGCGCCTGTGGCAATCAGATTGCTGCACAAAATCGTGTGGTTGACCCAAAGTGGAATGCACCACTACTTGTTTATTTGAAGGCTAGTTATTGTAACACCAAATAAAATATTTTATAACTCCATTATAATAATGCAATTATAATTGCCTGATCACACTTTCCTTGCTAAGATAGAAAGGTGAAAGGACATAAAAAAAATGATGAGTAATTATTAAAAGAAGATAGCCGCTCTTGGTAGGATAAAAAAAATGGAGACTCGTTATTTTCTTTGTCCCCAAACACCATAAAAACTAGTCAACCCAAACTTGAAAGAGTAGGGGGAAAAGGAAAAGAAATAGAACGCTGTTTGGTTTTAAAAAATAGAATATTTTTCATTTTTATTATTTTGGGGAATAAAAAATAAAAGTGAAAATGCATTTGATAATTAAAAATGAAAATGAATTTTTAAAAAATAAAAATAAAATAGAATAAAACAAAAAAACAAAAAAAAAATTCAATTATAAAAGTAAGAAATGCTTATTACCTTTTTACTTATATTTTGCAAGTTAAAAAGTTTACCCTATACGTAAATACTTTTGAAGTTATTAATTAATAAATATATTACATATTTATAATTAAATGTTATTAATAATTATTATTTTTATAACTTTTTTTTATTTTTAAAAAATAATTTTTATTTTCGTTCTCCAAATATATTTTCTAAAAAACAAAAAATCAAAATCAAAAACTTTTTTCTAAAAAATAAAAACAAAAAATATTTTCTCAAATCAAACAGACTTTTAAAAAAATTATGATTTAACTGTTGTAAATTTTTTATAAAATAATCCTAAAACTAATTCTTTTAATTAAAATTAAAGAAAAAAAAAGAAATAATAAAGTGGTAAAAGGAAAGTGTCCAAAAGTGTAGGAGTGGCAAGAAATATTATGAGCCTTGTGTTTCAAAAGGCTGTTGTCTTTAAATGTTGGTGATTCCTTTCTTATAAGATGCTTTGCTTAAAATGTGGAACTTTCATATGTTATAGAAATAATATAATTAACAATTAATTACAAAGAGGAATTTTCTTTTTTATTGTTCTTTTAATTCAGTGTCTGACACTAACCATTAGAAATTTTGAAATAATCTGTTAAACTATGGCTCTAATTAAGTTTTATGCTAGATTAATTTCAAGAAATAAATGATGAAATTTGTGTAGAAATTAAAACCAATAATGAAATTCCTCACATATAATATTTTATGTATGTTCCTCTGCAAATTAGATGTTAACGGCTTTTGAAAATGATTTTATTAATATTTAAGATTGTCAAATTTGATTTTGATATTTAAAATTAAAAGTTTAATGTTTTATCAATAAATTGTTGAATTTGAAATTTTGGGTCATGATTTGTTAAAGCAAATGTAAACAAAAGAGGAGCACTTTTCTAACACCTAAAGCAAAACTTTATCATTTATAACTGATTAATTGAACATTTGCTAAAATTTTTAACTAAATCTACTTTTCAATGAACTGAAGAAAAGTGAGACACCATAGGCTTGGTTTGAAGAAATACTTTTACAGCTATTTGGTCAAACCCCAAATAACTTATAGTCCTATTGAAATGCTTGTCGTTTGCAATTTCTCCTAGGGAAGAAGCAAGGAATCACAAAATGTTTAGGCCTAGTTCCTGCGGACAAACCCTTTATAAAGGTTCATTTTGTACATCAATTTCCTCATCTTTCTTCTACTGGTCGGTACCTCTTAAAAATCCAAACGAGGAGAAATTAAGAAACATTAATTTACTGTTTTTTAGGACTCAAGACCTGCAAATAGGTAAGATGAAGTCATACATTTTGGTGGTTCTCTTTGTTATATTACTATGCACAGAAGCTGCCATGGTGCATGGTGATGATAAGGGTAACAAGGGGGATGGAAACAATGGCAATGGCAATGGAAAAAATAATGGCGAAGATAATAGAAAAAATAAAGGCGACAATAATAAGGATGAAAATAAGGGCAATGGTAACAACGATGAAGTGGACTATGACAACTTGTCACCATCAGAGAGTGGGCAAGAACTGCAAGGGAAAAGGCGCTTCTTACCAGAAGACCCTTGTTTGTCCATCTCAATGTCCATCTCAATGCATCTATTTCTTCTCTTCTTAATTTTATATATTTTATTTATATAGGAAATAATTGCTTAATTGTCAATATGGTTTTAGAGGTTGTTGGAGCTATATTTAGTATTTTTTGTATTTTTTGATGAAACAAACCGTAACTTGGAATAGAAAAAAGGATTGTTGGGATTTGAGTTCAAAGTTATCGTATGTCACCTTTTAAAGAGGATTGCGTAAACTAATTAAGTTAAACTTAAATTCAATTATATTTAGTATTTACTTTCTAGCTTACTTTGCGAAGGAAAATGAAAGTGTTCTTTGGCTGATTTTAAAATGTTCTTTTATGTTGTAAGGGAGGAAACCAAAGTGTGACGGCTATGGCTCTCTCTGCTATGACCCTCGTTTTGTTGGTGGTGATGGAGTTATGTTCTACTTCCATGAAGCAAAGGATGGAAACTTTGCCATTGTCTCGGATGATAAGCTACAGATCAATGCTCATTTTATTGGCACTAGACCACAAGGAAGGACTCGTGACTTCACATGGGCGCAAGCCTTGGCTGTCATGTTTGATACTCCCACTCTTGTCATTGCTGCTAACAGAGTTTCTCATTGGGATGGCAACGTTGATGCTTTCAGTGTAAGATGGGAAAGCGAGGCGGTTAACATCCCTTATGATGAAGAGGCTGAATGGAGGACTAGAGGTGAAGAAAGGGAAGTACTTATAGAAAGAACTGATGACAAAAACTGTGTTCAAGTCAAGGTATCTAGACTGGTGAAGATAGACATAAGGGTGAGACCAATTGGTAAAGAAGAAAACCAGGTTCACAACTATCAGTTACCAGATGATGATGCCTTTGCTCACTTGGAAACACAGTTCAAATTCACCAACCCGAGTGATCTTGTTGAAGGAGTGTTGGGAAAGACTTACCGGCCGGATTATGTTAGCCCTGTCAAGAGAGGGGTGCCTATGCCAATGATGGGTGGGGAAGACAAATACCAAACCCCATCCCTCTTTTTCACCTCTCTGCAAGGCTTGCAGGTTTCAGAGACCATCTGGAGTTGCCAGCATCTGAAGAGTTTCTCTCCATGCTGATAATAATCAAGAGATGAAATAAATTGTTCTGTGCAAATGAACCCAGGCACCATAACTAAATGTATATGTCAATCATCTTGTTTTGCTTGTTCTTACCTTCCATACTTTTGTTATTTTAAACAAATAAGGGGCATATGAAAGTTGCCCATTATATACTTTTCTACTACTTAATATGTTTATTCAAGGAAAAAAAAAAGTAAGAACAATGAATGAAAGTTTCTGGCTTTATATTGCCTCTAAGCCCTTAAGGTTTCAGAAGCAACTTGACAATTTAGGAAGGCAGCGTACTAACCAATCTTGATTATCAGAAAAGAAAATTGTTCCTTAAACGACAATTCCAGCCATTGACCGTACCGACAGAGTTTCCCCTCCGCAATCTAATAAACCACTATAGATTTCAGAAACCACAACACCAAGAAATGCTAACATCAAAAGCTTAAACTGGTATACATGCAGGAGAAAATACCGGAGTGAGGATGCTGCTGCTTAATCAATTCTAAGCATTTTGCATGATGATGTTGAAGATTGAAACGAAATGCCCCACTTGCTATGACATTCTCTCACAACAAGCCACATTTTCAGCAGGTGAAAGGTGAACTTGTTGTTATCTAAAGGATTTGACTTGAACTTTTCTCAACTTGATTAATGCAACTTGTAATAATTAATAAGCCTTTTTCTCAAGTCCCAAAGAAAAGACTATTCAAGTATTCATATAACAATATTATCAGGGTGTGCCCGGCCGTGTAGGGCTGTGCAGAAACCAGAAATCTAGAGTTGTTTGACCTCGAACAGTCATTTTTTTAAAGTTTGGAAACCATGGGATCCAATCAATTAAGGCACCATAATTTGAAGCTTTGATCACATGACAAAACGTGATAAGAATTTAAGCGAGTAGCGGAGTTTATACTTCAATGACAATTGTCCGAACTGTGTTTCCCTTCAGTCTGTGGCTTGCATTTATGAAAGGATTCATACAAACATATGATCCACTTGCATTTTTTTTCCTGCATTTTTGTATAACCATGCTGAACAGGTTTCTTCAAAAGCAGCTCACTTATTCAAGCACTATCCTAAATACATAATATAACAATTAATTCTTATACTACTTCATATATGTCTATATAAAGTTATCAGCTGGCAACGCCATTAGAACCACATTACAACTATATAAATTACAATGACCTAATAATACCATGACTCACTTGAAAAAGGAGAAAACAAGTTTTTCCTTAATAGATAACAGGTTTCTCTTTGTTTTCACAAGAACCATTTCAAACATCAAAATGTATAATAGACTGTTTATTAGCAATAGAGGATTGTTACACCCCAAAATATGTGCATTATATATATGTTTGTTAGGAACAAAAATATTTAGAGTGACTTAGTTGAGTCCTTCGATTTGGTCTTAAATCTTGCTCAGCTGGCTAAGCAGCATATTAGTGCTTGAACTTGAAGCATCAAAATTGTTATTCACATTTCACAAGGCTGTTTCAAAATTTCCAATCTCAAGCAAGGCCTATGCCTAAGTTTCTTAACCATAACAATATTGCTAATTAATGTAGTCCTCCCAATTTCATATTGTCAAATGGACAGATCAAGAAGACTCATTACTGATATAACAATTATAGAAGAGCTGTTTCTCAACTGCTTGTTTGTAGTGAGAAGAAATTTCACATGGCTTCAGCCTAATTTATAGGCAAGCTGCCTGCCCGACTGGCCTTTATATAGGTTTTACTGACACCATGTCTCGGCATCTGATCTTTTCCAAACTGCAACACTTGAAGATCAGTAGAAAGAGAAGAAAAACATACTGATAAACAGTAACGCTTGCATTTTAGACATATAGGCATGGATAGAAGATACGCTTTCCTTTTGGTGGCCCTTGCCCTAGTATTCATTTCCATGGAAGCTAGCTATGCTCAAGGTCAGAGCGAAGGCAACAGAAAGAAGGCACCCTATGATGCTGCTTCAACACATTATGATGTTTTGGAACCGAGCACGACAGGACAGGAAAGAGTTTTTTGCCAAGCAAGAGGGGCTTGTAATGGGAAGATACTCACATGTCCAGCTCAATGCCCTCAGAGGAAGCCCCGGAAGAACAGGAAGAACAAAGGATGCTTCATTGATTGCAGCAGCAAGTGTGAAGTCACTTGCAAATGTAAGTCTCTTAAGTACTCTTCTATTTTCTGCTTGTATGCTTCAAGGAATTGTTTTGCAGCAATGTATTTTAGGAAATTGCATATATATGCTGATGAATCTAACTACTTTGTCAGGGAGAAAACCAAACTGTAATGGATATGGCTCTCTCTGTTATGATCCAAGGTTTGTTGGCGGTGATGGAGTTATGTTCTACTTCCATGGAGCCAAGGGAGGAAATTTTGCCATTTTATCAGATGATTACCTCCAAATCAATGCACACTTCATCGGAACACGACCTGAAGGAAGGACTCGAGACTACACATGGGTGCAAGCCCTGGCTGTCATGTTCGACACTCACACGCTGGTACTCGCAGCAAAGAGAGTGACTCAATGGGATGACAGCTTTGATGCTCTTACCGTAAGATGGGACGGTGAAGCAGTCAACATCCCCATTGATGGAGAGGCTGAATGGAGGAGTAATTCAGAAGAAAGAGAAGTGGTAGTAGAAAGAACTGATGAAACCAATAGTGTTAAAGTGACAGTTGCAGGCCTGGTGGAATTAAATGTTAAGGTTAGAGCAATTGGAGAACAAGAAAACAAAGTACACAACTACCAGTTGCCAGCGGATGATGCTTTTGCCCATTTGGAGACTCAGTTCAAATTCACCAATATAACCCATCTCGTGGAAGGAGTTTTAGGCAAGACATACAGGCCAGACTATGTTAGCCCCGTGAAAAGAGGTGTTCCAATGCCGATGATGGGTGGGGAGGACAAATACCAAACACCATCCCTCTATTCCCCTCTCTGCAAAGCTTGCAGGTTCAAAGGACAAGCCGGTTTTGCTTCCATCTAAGGCCTACCTTATTATACTGATTTAAAATAAATAACATACATGTTTTAACAAGGCAGTGAAATGTGTGTATTGGTCTCTTCGGATCATCAGCTTTGTGATTGAATTACCAATAAGGGCTAGACTTTGCCCATGACATCATTATTTTAAACAGATGTAAACAATTCTATCGTTTTCAAAGATGTAAAATTTAGTTTTATATGTACCAGTTGATAACATATTTGGTGATAGTCAAATCTTCAACCACATTAAGAAAAATTTCATTTGAAGCCACAGCTACCACGCTAAATGAAGATGAGGAAGGTAGTATGAAAGGAGCTAATGGGATGTTTGCTAGTAATTAACTTTAGGTGTTGAGTAATTGCTACTAATTAAATCTCCAGTTCGCGTGTGTATTTTCCCTATAAGATTCTCTCTTAGGCTTTGCTTGATAGAAAAAATGGAAAGATTGAGAATGCAAAACTTACTAATTTAACAATTAAGCTACAAAGTAGAAAAGTGATTATAAATTGTAACGATTATATTAACAAATTTTTTATCCTCGCCTATTTCTATCCTTCCTACCAAAAAAGCCTTAACCTTTGTCATTCGAGGAAGTGGTGTAATCCTCACCACTCAAAGTTACACACTTTGAAAATTTCTAGACATATGTCTTGATAAAAATGAGTAAAATGTCTGTTTTGCAAAATCAAATCTGTTTGCTCAGGATAGAGATCATAAAGCCCAAATATTAGGATCAGAATGAAGAAAACCACTGAATCTTTTCCAGGCATGTGTGGCTTACGGTCATTAGTTCAGAAAATATTTAATTTCAATGCCATAATTACATCAGCTGTTATGTTTGCATCACATGACACAGTTAGTGCAGGAATATGTTCATCAATCTTCACCTAGTCCGCATTCCAAAGTGGGTTTACTGTCAAAGAAAACATACATAACAGGATAACTACTTCAAGAACAAGATAGAAATTATATAGTTTCATGGACAAGAAGGCATGTGCTCTCATCAAAGATACACTGTTATCCAGAAATGACATTAGAGTTTGACACTAGCCAAATGTTTATTTTTATTGTACTAGGAAGAATATAGTTGAGGTACGAGACCTTTTCCTTTTCTAGCAAGAATCCATTTTTCTGTGATAAGCTGTCAAAAAGCTTATTTGACCAAAGACTTACTTGGGGATGATGCTTCGCTTGCACCCCAAATGAAACATTTGATAACAATCATGTACAGGAAACTTCTACGGCTAGGCTTTTCATTACTCCTTTGCAAGGGTCACCAAACGTACCGGTTGATACTCCAATACTACAACTTGTTAAGCCAACACAAGCCTGTAGAATTTGACAATTGTCAGGAAAGAAAATAATTTATGCTCTCTTAGGTTTATGCTTTTGTTTTTTGCTTTTTGCATTTTTTGGGGAAAAAAAAAGAATAGAGAGTGAAAAGCAAAAAATAAAAATGAATAGAAAACAAAAGGCTTAGTTACAACCATAAAAGTTGTACGTGAAGAGGAAGCAAGATCGTACCTTCTGTACGATGAAGAGTGCCCTAGCACTGCTACACCTGCCATGGCTAAAACTGCCGCAAGTCCCACGAGGAGTTCCAAAGCTTGCAAATTTGATTGAAGAAATAACCTGATTTGGGGATGGACAACCCAGGGACAGTGTAGGGCTTAAACTCCTTCCGGCTTTTGAATCCAAACCCCACATATCTACAGGTAACGGGTGAGATTCAGATACATGAGAGCACAAACTTCCCATCTGTCGGGTTGCAAATGCGAGCTGTGTTGGATCCCCACCATTTTCTTCAAACAATACAAGAATGTTGCCACTTGGTTGCAACCATGAACGGGGTACATGGTACCTGCAAGTGAGACAGATACACCACGATAGGAAATTTTATAGTAGTAATTTTCAAGCTTTCCCAACTAAGACTCTTTGGTACTCACAATTGCTGAGATGGTTTCCCACAATTCTTGAGGCATTTGCTTGAACTAAAAGGCCCTCTATAATTACAAGAGTCAGTACAGCCACCATTTGAAGAGACATAGGCAGGCCAATAACGTCCAATGCTCTGTCCATTCACCCACGCCTGACCCTTCCCCATCCCAGAGAAGTCTAAAGCAATTGGGTCATTTCCAGCTGGGGCATCAAAATTTGTCTGCATACAGAAAATTGATCACTGCTAGTTTAGATTTGATTCAACAGTGCGATCCACAGTAATGTTTTTATGAATAATGAAAGGTCATAGGTTAACTAGGTTAATGGAATTCATGTTATATGAAAACATAATATATGAAAGGAAGAAAAAAAAAATTTGCTGATTGCTTTATCTGATTGTTTGTTCTGGAAATGTGTTAAGGCATTAATTGCTTCTCCTTAAAAATTGTCCTAAAAGGAAACAACATACATTCTGAAAGGTAGAGAAAAAAAAATGTTTGCTAAGGAAGATTTAACCTAATATTAATTCCGAAAAAAACATTTTTTATATGCTATATACTGGAATTGTCACACTAAAGTGCATCTTTGCATTTACCACCAAGCTGTACATTTTTTAATACTGCTCACTGCAAAACAGTAAAACCCCATCTTTCTTTCACTTAAACAAAGAAGTATCTGCTAAGCTTTTATTTCCTGTCTCATAATGGCTCTATTCTTATGTCCCATCTGGTTCTGAACATTTATCATTGCATTCTTTACAGTTTGACACCTTATAATTCAGGTGCTAAGAAAGTTTTCAACACCTAAGTTAATTACCAAAGCTAGAAGATTCAAACATAAAAAATATGCATGCCAAAAAAAAACACTAAATTATATTTAAGTAACTAATGGAAGACATAATACCTTATCGAATATTTAATTCTTTTTTTCTGCAATTCCACAAACCATACTAATTAATAGTTAAACATTACCTTGTACCATATTAGGGGTTGATTCTTTGGCAAGGTGGATGAGACCCATTGCGATGAACTTCCACTTGGTAGACCTAAATCTTCCCCTTGAAGACCAACCTATATTCATGATTGCAGAAACAAGAAGGAAAGTTAGCGTGCTGTTGCACAAATTTCATTTGGGAGTCAATTTTACATAGGGTTTTCATTCCTCTTCAATCAGAGTGCGGTCCACTATATCAAGTGCTATCTCACCACAATTAATGGATGGGTGCTTGATGTGGCCGAAAAAGAAATAGATGGCATTCACCATTGCACTGGATATGATTCAAATTCATTTCTTAGAACCCATTCTCTCAGTTTGTAGGTTATAAAGAAATGCAGTGCTCATTCACCATTTTATCCTTTGGTCAGAATTGTATTTAGGATAACGGTTTAAGTTGAGAGAATAGACAAAGAAAGAGACACGGACCTGATATGTCCACTGCTGTGAGGTGAGATCAATGCTGCTACCATTCTTTAAACCATTTAGCTTCACTGGACCAGTGACCCCTGCCCCCCATAAGTCAAAAAAGGCTCCGTAGTTCTGACACATATGCATCCAATTAGATGATACATGTATTGAATTATTTCTATTACAATTGGTTTATCCAACAGATAACATATTCAACTTTTATAGAAAGTAGAAACCACAACACTGCAATTTGCAGATAAATATTTCCATTTTTCGGTCAATGATCATGTAAATCTTAGTGAGGAAAGCTGAACCTGCAGTCCTACAGTCAAACTCAGGAGATCAATTGTGTTCTTCCCAGGTACGACTGTGATGGGGATATCCACTTTAACCTTAGCATTGCCACTATTACCAGTTCCACTCCCTGTAGAAGTTCCAAAAGATGCAGACACAAAATCAGTATTGCTACAGTGGTTTACAACTTCCCATGAAACATCACTATTACTGTAACTATACAAGCAAAGTCATGTCATATCAGCATCCTTAATCAATTTCATTTGTCACATATTTTGATATAGAGAATATGATGGAGCTACCCTTCCCAAAATCCTAAACTAGCATGTTTGAGCTCCCAAGCCTGGTCCAACTTCCTGATGCAAGACAATATTTTTGAGGATTCTGATGCATTTCACTTGCATAACCTAATAAGCAACATTATAAGGAATTGAATGTTAATTTTATCAAGGGAATTGCATTATTCTCATATTTTATCCATAAATTTGAATGCCAAATTGATGTTCATCATTCAACAGTTGGAAAGTTCTTTTAGAGCCCTATGCAATATGCATTGCATGAGACACCTACCTAAAGAAGCAAACTAGAACTAACTGATCAAAGTTATACTCTGCACCATTTTCCTAATCTACCAATTATAACAATTATAATCTAAACCAAGCTAAAAATTTGTTGGAGAAATAAAAGAACGCTTCTTATTCCTCTTTACTCAAAAATGCTAATCCTTTCATTCATCCCATTTCATTATAGAAACCTTGAAGATTACTTGATAATACAACAGAGCAGAACTCCAGGATAAGTTAAAAGAAGAAAGAAACTGTGAATGAAAATGACCATATATAAGTATATAATATATATATATATGTGGAAATCTAAGATATTGCACTTTGAATACAAATATTATTTCCAGTACCTGCAAGTTTCCCATTTATAAAAGCATGAAGGGCATGCCCAAGCGATTCCACATGAAGAACAGTTTGAGATCCGTCTTGAAGGAAAGGCTCATCTCCTTTTATATTAGTGCTGCCAAAAGCATTCAATAAAATTCGTTAAAACATTGTGAAAATAAAAAACTTGAACCAGTAGCAATTATGCCATCAGGAAACAACTTTTAAAACAAAACACCAGGATACCTTAATGAATACCACAAGTAGTCACTTTTATCAGCAGTAGTGTTTATTTGCTCTAACAATCCAAGTTGGTTAAATGCATCAGCCTTTGAGATACCAACAGGTTCATTAATCCAACTCCAGCTTGACCCAATTGCCTCATTTGAATCGGCATTGGTATTCAAAGATTCATGCATGTAGCTTGGAATCACAGTCATAGAGTTAATCTGTCATGTGAAAATAAAACTAAATGGGTTATTTTACTCGAAATAACAAACTTACAAGAAGAACAAATTTATGTAGTTAACATATAGCACAAGTTACAGAATGTAAATGTAAATGTATGTAGTCCATGATGGATGAAACAGAAACAGTGTACAGCCCACTAGTGTCCTGAAGAGAAAATAATGATAACATCAGCACATTGGACTGAAATACATTGTTTGTATGATTGTGTAGGAGGTTCTTCATACAGCTGATTTGGCAGAGCTAGGTTCTATGACCCCAAAAATAATGACAATTTGAATTTCCTGCAATCATCCTTTTGTAAGAGGCTAGAAAAAATTAGCTTTACGTAATTCAGTTATATATTCAAATGTTTCAAAGAAACTTGTTAACAAGAACCAGACTCTAGTGCAATGCAAGGAAGGAAAATCTTGAACAGCAAAGAAGCTGATTAGGTGAAGGAACCTAAGCCAAACCAAGCTATAGGATAATAGTTTAAAGCTACAACCGTTTAAACAAATATATAATTGATGGAAGCTAACTTGAACTTTAAGTGAGAGACGAATGTGCTAATGAGGCAGACCTTGGCAGTATTCAGAACTACATTCTTGCAGTCTGGTAAGATGCTGACAGACCATGCAGGCAAATTGTATGACTTGCCATTGAAATTAACAGTCGCATCAGATTTGGTGTCTACATTGGCAAGAAACGCAGCACATTGTCCTGATCCTGTTTTATATACAGCAGCCTGAAAGAAAATACAAATAAATTGATGTACTAGTTATTCGGAACAGGACCTGACA